GCTTCCCCTTTGTAGCTGGGCAGTGGCGATGCATGCTTCTAATCCCAGCACTCGGGAGCTGACAGTGGATCAGTTGTTAGAGCTGAGAGAGGGGTTTCACATGAACGAGAGAAACTGGGGTGTGCGTGCGTGCGTAGGGGTCAGTCACTCCCTGGACCCGGAGCGGCACATCCTGAGAGTTTTCCTGTCAAGTGCCCTGTACAGAGCATGTCCTACGGTCTGCTCTATTGACTGCCTACCTTGAAAGGACCCTCAGGCAAAAGCCAGCATCAGCGGGAAGGCTGGGCATAGGGGGAACAGCCTGGAGCCGGCCCTGGCTCGTCATCAGTCACCATTCTTTAAACAAACGACAAACAACCCAATTTTATTAAGCTTCACGGTTTCTCTGATACAAAGAGAAATATCAAAAGCAATCCTAGGAGACATGCAATGTTCCCTCCCTGCCCCCAAATCCGCAATAATAACCTCAGAGGGGGAAAAAAGACAAAAGTTCTCTTCAACAGAGATGATCATCTTCGCTTTTGGAAGATGTTTCCAGGAACCTTTCTACGACGTTTTAAATTACATATTCTAGGGCTGGGGAGACGTTCGTTGGCTAAGTCGTCAATTCCACAAGCGTGGAGACCCACATGCCAATTCCCCGACACACGTAGGGACACAGACGGCATCAAGTGTCTGTCATGACAACATTCCTAAGGAGAAACGGGGGGTGCAGAGACAGAACCCTCAGAAGCTTACAAGCCACCTGACCCAGTGCACACAGCAGTGAGCGCAAGAGTCTGCCTCGTACTGACAGCAGGCTATCTATCCTCTGCTCTCACACACACCATGAAACACGCATACCCTCACACCCATGTGCACGTGTGTGTTAGTGTGCGTATGTGCGCACGCACACACACACACCTTTTTAAAATTAAAACAATGAAAATTGGGGCTGGAGAGCTGACTCAGTGGCTAAGAGCACCTGCTCTTCCAAAGAACCTGAGCTGGATTTCCAGAGCTGTGAGATCTGCACTATCCTGGCCTCCCTGGGCACTAGGGATGCAAAGGATACACAGACATACGTGTAAGCAAAGCATTTGTACACATGAAATAATTTCTTAAAATGCAGATCCCAGCCTCACAACAGATCTCCTGAGTCACAATCTGAAGGGGGCAGTTGAGAAATCCATACATATATTTTTTAAATCAGACAACTGCTCTACATTTCAACCTTCCTAATGCTGCAACCCTTTAATACAGTTCCTCATGTGGGGTGACCTCCTCAACCACAAAATTATCTTCATTGCTACACCAGAACGGTAATTTTGCTGTTAGCCTGGTGGTGCACGCCTTTAATCCCAGCACTCAGCAGGCAGAGGTAGGCGGATCTCTGTGAGTTTGAGGCCAGCCTGGTCTACAGCCAATGGCTACACAGAGAAACCCTGTGTCAAAGAACCAAAAAAAAAATTTTTGCTACTGTTATGAATTGTAAACATCTGTGTTTTCTGATGGTCTTAGCAGACCCCTGTGAAAAGGTGGTTCGACCCCCAAAGGGTCATGACCCACATATTAAAATTAATTAATCTAGATTAACAAAATACAATAATATGAAGCTTAATTGAAGCCTATATATTTAAAAGTAGAAAAGGTATTTTTGGATGACTTGGCATAGGGACTATTAAAATGGATTCTGGGTAAATTTTCATTTTCACACAGGATCTTCTGTAGCCAGGCTCACATGGCCGGCTCTCTTGCCTCTGCTTCCTGATTGCTGGAGGCCAAACCTGGCAGAGATTTGGGCAATTTTCTTAGACTTAATAACATTTCAGAAATATAGGCTTAATCATAGGCTACGTTAAGTTCAAGTATTAAAACGTGACTTGTCGTGCCCCAACTTACTTTAGGGGGTGGGGGGACAAGTTAACTTTAAATGGCTCCAGGTGGAGAGGACTCACTGAGAAAAACCCTGGAGAAGGGACAGTATTGCTCTCTTCTACATTTCTGTAGGCTTAAAGTTTCTGCACTTCCTGCTGAGGGAAGGAAAGCCACACACAGCCTGCCAGCTGAGGTAACCCGGCTCTCCTGACAGGCGGCCTGGGGGCTGCAGCACTAAGGCAAGGCTTTCTGTGGGGCTTTAGGAGGCGGCTGCATGCTGTCCCTGGTGGAGAGGAGAGGAGGCACACTGTCCCCTAGAGGTACTCTCGCCAGTCCCACCGTCCTGGTGACACGCGGTTCAGGTCGAAGGGCAAAGCCCCCTGCCTGGCCTTTTCTGGAACTTGACAGAGGCTGAATGCAGGAGAGCCACCTGTGTGACGCCAGCCCCATCAGCTCCGCCCGGACAAACTAGAGCGAGGGAGGCTCTGGGGACTTTTAAGTCTGCAGACAGAGGCGTGTTGGAAGAGCTCACAAAAAAGAAGCAAGGAGGGCCGAGCAATCGGCAGTGTTCAGGGTTAGGGTAGGCCGTGTATTACTCCTCTCACTGCGACAAATCGCTGACAGAAGCCACTTCAGGAAGGGTCTCTTTTGAGTTTTACGACTTCCGGTATCTCAGTCCATATGGCCGGGAAGGCACGCAGCTGGAATGGCCCATCTGCTGAGGCAGGGTCAGAAGGCAGAGGGTGTGCACATGGTGGCAGATAGGAAGCCAAGTACCCAGGCCAGGGCCAAGGGGGCTATGCCCTTCACAGCCTGACTCTGCTGATCTACTCCAGCTAGGCCTCACCCCTGCAGGTCCGCAGCCTTCAAAGCTGCTGCACAGGTTGGGATGTGTTGATGGGTTACATGCGGGATACATCCCTGCCACAACAGGCTGTTAACAGAAGTCTGCGATAGAGGAGTGAGCTCAATGATACCCTCAGAGACCAGGCAGGGGACACGGGTGACACTCCAGCCTCAGGCGGCAAGCTGAGCACAGCTCTGCAGGGGACCACTCCCCCCCCCCACCCGGCTCAGACTGCCTCTCCTGCTGGCTCAATCAAAGGCCTAGGAGGGGGCCAGGTTACTGCACCAGCACAGGAGTAGCTGGGGGGGGGGGGCGGGGGCTGCAATCCCCTTCCCTAACCTTTGTGACTGTTTTAGTAAGGCCTTTGCTGTGTTCAACTCTGGCCAAACAGCCTCAATCCAGAGACCCGAGTTTGGCGCTGTCACTGGAAATTGGGAAAGATTAAGGGTTAAATCCCCTACCCACAGACAGGGGCTTCCCACAACAGAGCCCTCCCAGCCTGGTCATCCCTTCAGACCAGGGACTGGAAAGGTAAAGGCCACAGAGGGCGGTGGCCCAGGCTCAGCCCAAGAACCCCAGGGGACCCACTAAGGTAACAAGTGGACAGTGACCCATTGGGTTTGACCGGTCACCACGTTTATGCCTCAGACTCAAGTGAGGCCCAGGAATCTACTGCACTGGAGTCCAGAAAAATCGACAGCTCCAGTGAGGGGACCACAGTGACCTGGACCAGAGGGAAATTCTAAACCTTTGCTTTGGGCACTCTCGATGACAATGTTCCTACAACAATTGAAGCACCACTGATGCTCACCAATATAAGACGAGGTAGGTGCTTAAGAGCCCTGGCTGCTCCTCGCAGAGGACCCCGATTCAATCCGTGGTTCCATTTTCAGGGGATCCAGTGACCTCTTCTAACCACTGTGAGCAACAGACACTCATGCTGTGGGCACAGATGCATCCAGGCAAAACACTCATATGAAAATGCAAAAGGAAAAAAAAAAAAATGAGGTCTGGCATTCTGTGCTGTTATGTTCTTATCTCTATTTTTCATGATCACCAAGGAAATACTTCCTGGGAAATAAAATTCCAAGATATATTAACTGACTGAAATAGTCCAGAGCCCTCACCATGTATGAGCAGAGTCTGGAGTGCAGGAATGACCCCAAGACCACCAGCGAGTCAGGCCAGTGTAGCAGAATGGAGAGGGGCTCGACCGCAGGAACACGGGGAGGGACCCAGGCCACGCACCCCCAAGCCTCCTGGAGAAACACCCAGGCCCCACATCACCCCTTTTCTTAGGAGAGAAAGTAACAGATTTTTTGGTCACAGTGACATTCTGGCTTTCTATCCTTAGGACTGGCACAAGCCAACGAGGGACAGTAAGATAAAACAGGATGGCACTAATCAGCTGTTGTGCTCTACCCAACTTCCTCTTTTCACTCAAACGAAGGGGCAGAAAAGGGTCAACCACTGCCTCATGTTTATTGGAGAGCCATGGCATTTCTATCGGGGCAAACACAACGCCTCAAACATCGCCCTCATCCTGCTGCTTGGGAGACAGCAGCGGAGTAACGGATTCAGACAAGTCGTGCCTGGAAGCAACTGCACTGTCTACACTAAGGAAAGCTCAAGACTCTGTAAACCCCGGCCAGAGATCAGCGCAGGGAGACAGAAGGCAGAAGACTGGCCCGCGCTCTGCCCACCGCAGAGGGCAGAACCACAGATACCTGGTGACTCAGCACACACCCTCCGTGGGCTCCTTTAGCACGCCCCAACGGGAGGAAGAAACACACTTATCTGGCCCCGTGTGATCCCTGGAGGGAACGGCAGGCTCTGCTTAAGCCCACAGGGCACCTCCGTCTTTGCTCCATTCTTCCGGAATCAGGCATTCAAGTGTCTCTGCCTGAGGAGACAGCAAAGAGGCGGAGCCTTCTCAGAAAGCGGAGCCCAGGGCCAGGAATACATACACAGGGACGGACGGATATGCTCGAGTCAAACCCCATCCATCCTTGTCTTAGCTTCGGTGTCCTGGTGACTTCTGCAGGGAAGCGTGTAGAGTGCTCGCTGGGAACATGGACCTTTGCACAGAGGCTCGCTTCACTGTCTGGCCCTGCACACAGAGTGCACGAGGAAAAGCTTCAGCCAGGCGGATGGGAGGACATCAGGGTCATGAGAAGAGAAGCAGGGAGTAAACCGCCCAGTGTGTGTGGACAGGGTAAGAGAGAAGACATTCTACAAGCCATCCCCACCAGCTCAGATCCTAGCGAAAGGAAGCAACACTGGGCTCGAGCCGGTGAGTGTCTGGGGAGATTTGTAGTCAGGATTCCGTCATTACGATGCAGCTGCCTGGAGAGGGCATGCCTGTCCATTGCAGGTGCTCCGCACTCCCAGACTAGGACAGCTGTTCCAGCTGGGGGTCCGCCGCCTGCTCCTTGGCTTTCAGTTCTTCTAGCTTCTTCTCATAGCGACTCAGGAAGTAATCGTCAGGTTCCACCCCCGAGCTCTTCAGAGTTTCCAGGACCTTCTCCAGTCTGGCCACGGACCGGGCTCCGTCAATCTTCCTCGTGCTCAGGTACAGGGTGAACTCCTGGAAACCCAGGAGCTTACAGGTATCCACAGAGCAAATATTCCGGATGTTGCTGGTTCTGTCCAAACCGGGGAAAAACACCAGGCCTGACATCTTTTCTAGGTCCTGGAGGCTCACCTGGAACTCAGTTAACTGGGGCTGGAACCCAATGGCCGCATTTGGCACCACAAAGGCTCCCAATGCCAGCGGTTCAGTAGATTCCGGGCTCCTGCGGGCCAGAATCACCTTGTAAAGATGTGAGGGGACTGCCACATTGTCCTCACCGATCACCTAAAAACAAAGCAGCCCGGTTAGTGGCACAGATTTGTGCCAACGGTTTCCAGGGTTTTGTCCCCACAACATCTCAGATGCATTCCCAGAAAAGCTCTCGTGAACAGTCTCAGTGCACCCCAATGCATCATGGTCCAACTGCTAAGCATAGTGTAAGAGACTCAACAGGACGCGTACGAAGCAGGCCGGTTCTAACCGGTCTTTAGAACAATGCTACCCAGCGGAAGAGGACCGAGGAGGTGCCCAGAGCAAACACTGACCTTCCAGTGGGGGGGAAAATTGCCATTTCCTCTTCATCTCTTGACCAGAGCTTCTGATTTGATGCTCTACACAGAAGAGGTCAAAACTGCTGACCTCAGCATCCCCAGCTCTCACGATAAAAATGGCCCTGGGTTAGCAAACTTACCAAGAAACAATAGACAAACTCTGAAGAAGCAGCCGGCTACCATTATCGACAGAACTTTCCAGATGTTTTCAAGTTGAGTGCATTCACCTGCTTTTGCTTAGTTTCAAATGCTGCTGGACTACCAAACCCTGAACTTCTAGATTACACTGTCCAGTCAGACCCTTGGGAAAGGTAGGTACATAGTGAGCAAGGCAGGGTCAGAGAAAGCAAGCTGCCTGTGGAGGTTGGCCGTACTGCTGAAATAACATTATGAAGCCTCTTCAAACGTCCTTCCAACATGCGTAAAACCCTCATCTATTGCCTAAAAAAACAAAAGCGTCCACTTACTTAATGGTCCCCCACAAAATGGCAGAAGCCGGGTGAGCATGACTGCAGTGCGCCTTCCTCTGTGCCCTGCCTTCAGTCGGTAGGCCTCGCCCCGATCACACAGTTCTGCCCGCAGGTGCCCCGTCAGAAGCCCAAATGAGGCAGCGATCGGAGCCAAAAAGGACTCTTTTCTGGTTTTTACAAATCCGATCCACAACGCACACCGCCCAGAACTCCATAGCCACCTACTGTCTATCACACATGGCCACAAGCAACGACAGGACTTCAGGGAAGTCTTTGATCATACTGAAAGCAGCTGGCTGGGCTCAGTACAGAGCGAGGTTTATAAAACCGCGCTGTCCATAGGTTCAAAACTCTTATTCCTAAGAGTGGACTTGTGCAACAAGGACAAGCGAGCTCCACCAAGCAAAAGGGATGAGAAGGGAAGCTACTGTACGTTCACACCTGCTTCACGGATTCCCCAGAGATGCTAACCAACCATGCTCAAGGGTCCAGAACCTGGCACTGACCCTCCAGCACATAAACTGGGTGTGGTGGAGCAGCCTGTAGTCCTAGCATTCAGGTGAAGGCAAGAGGATCAGAAGTCCAAGGTCACCCTTGGCCGCACATGTAGGGAGCTCGAGGCCAGCCTGGACTATGTGTCTCATTTTAAAAGGAAAAGGGAGGGGCTAAAGGGGGAGCCAATGCCACAGCTTACCCTACAAGCAGAACCAGACTAAGTCTGGAACCAGAACTAAGGGTATGGCGACCATGGAGCCAGAATCACAAGGGGGGATACAAGTTGGAAAAGGCTTCAAAGGCTTCACAGTGGCTGGGGACCCGGTGGGTAAGCAGATTCTTGGTGCCACCTGGTGGGATTTCCGTGCCACTGCACCACAGCATGAGACCCTCCAAGGCCATATTGGAGTCTTCCACATTCACTTCAGTATTTCTACCTCAAAGACTCCTCGTCCACAAACAAATGGCTACTTTCAGAGACAGATATTTAACCAGCCACGTTCAGTGGCTGCCAACCACAACTTCTAACTGAGTTCCTTCAATTCCAGCAAAAGGATTAACGTCTGACATCTTCCTACATTTCACGGCTTCGCTTCATGGCGATGTTTGGATCTTTTAAACTCACACTAGCTAAAGGACCTCACTCAGTGCTGCTGTCATGAGGGCCTCGGACAAGCCCAGCAGCCCTCTACCTTCAGCTGCGACGCGGCCCAGCTCAGGACTGTAACATGGGACTCTTCGATCACAGCCTTCCCTACAGTAAGTAGAAAATGAAATCAACTTGTTATCTTGCCCAGAGTCCCTCTACTTTGCACTCAGCACATCTCAAAGATGCCTGCTTGGAAATTCCAAAGCCCACTGTCACACACCTTTGATCCCATCACGCAGGACGCAGAGGCAGGTGGATCTCTGAGTTCAAGGCCAGCCTGGTCTACAGAGCGAGTTCCAGGACAGCCAGGGCTACACAGAGAAAACCTATCTCAAGACCAACAAAGAGAGACACAAATAATCTTAAATAACGCAGGGTTCTCTTCCTTATAGGTAACTCAGCAATACACGTAAGTTTTCTTAGTTGGAGAAAATATTCCTAGGATGCACAAGGTTCAGTTGACATAAGCTGCAACTCACAACCAGTCTCCTTTCTTCCTGCACAAACAGCACCAGCAATCCACAAATGCCCTCACAGAACCGACTGTTGACAACAGTTAAGGAAGAAAAACAAAACAAAAGCACACACCTTTAATCCCAGCACATGAGCGGCAGAGGCAGGGGGATTACTGAGTGTGAGTTTGGGGTCATCTAGGGCTATATAGTGTATCCCGAGAGAGAGAGGAGGAAGAGGAGGGTATGATGGTATACATGTACAACCCCAGAAGCCTGAGAGGTACAGACAGGAGGACAGGGGTTCAAGGACAGCCTGGACTAACTAAACGGGACCCTGCTCAAAACAGTAACAAAAAAAGATTTCAAAATCCCCAAGACTGATTTAAAAAAAACAAAACAAAAAAAAAAAAAAACAAATTATTTTTTTATAGAGGATGTCATTCAAAAGACAGGTTTTGCAGAGGGATAGTGGGAAAACACGGGCTCCAGCAAGATTAGACAAGTTAGAGGCCACAGCGGGTTTCAGAAGGAGAAATCAAGTTGAACACAAATGACTGCGGACAAAGGGTTTCTATATGGCTTAACACAGACCAAGCTTTAATATCAGTACATCAGCAACAAACCTTTTCACACAAGATTTGGCATTTAAAAAAAAAAAAAAAAAAACACTTCACAGAGGAGATCTCCACTGCTATTAAAATGCTCAGGAACCCTGAACTCTTCTCAAGGCTAACAAAACCTGAATATCAACCATCTGGGAGTGACCGGAAATACAACACACACAACAGCTGTAAGATGGACTCACATCTAAGTCTGTTATTTCCGACATACTGCCCGGAGCTTGCTTGCTTGCTTCCTTCCTTCCTTCCTTCCTTCCTTCCTTCCTTCCTTCCAAGAGACAGAAACAACAACTTATCCCCACCATAGCCACAAAGTGCCCCCAGTTCCAGAAAAAGCTGGCAAGAAACAATACAGGCTCGGCCTGCTATTTGTTATGCCACAGACTTACTGCGTCGCAAAGTCCCTAAGATAAATGCATTTAATGACACCATTCCCAATAAGATAAGGAAGTCAAACCAAAAATAAAACTGCTGGGACACACAAGAGACAAAGCCCTTAAGATGTCAATCACATGAAAGAAACACACGTTGGCAGTTTGGAAAACGGGAAGTGAGGTCAACAGGAACGCTGGTGAGCTGGTGAGACCTGTGTCACCGGCAAAGCCAGCAGACACCTGCTAAGGCAGCTCAAACCGGACGACTGTTCCAGGCAGCGGCAGATGTATAGATGAACCAACTCCCTAGACTCCCAGATTCCCGGGACAGATTTCCGATTTTCTCCCTCCCTATGAGTAACTGGCAGAAATCCAAATTGCGGCTCCTCAGTGATGGGCAGGCTATTAGACACTGCTCGAATACCACCTCTCATCAGGTCCTTTACAACGGTCCAAGTCCAAATCTTCAGGTGCGTGTGTTTCACTTGTCTGGACTGGGTCTCTCTGGAACGGACACTCAGGGAAAGCACACGGACACTCAGCCTCAGTACATTAAGGGTGACTCTGATCCGAGCTGTCAGATGACTCACTTGCGATAACATCACTGCTACTGACCCTCCCTGGGGCTTACATGGACTCCACTTCTAGGGTGCCGTGATCCACTCCCCCAGATTCTAGTGGACATTTCTGCCTGGCTGTAAGGAACCCTCTTGGCCCATTTTCTGTAATTTCTGCATGCTAGCAGATGCTCCTGGCCTCCGCCCACAGCATCCTCCATTACTGGCGGCCTCATACCCTGTACCAGGCATTCAGTCATCCCTTTACCACTGACCTTTGAGAGCCACGAAGGACGAAGCTGCCTGAACATCAAGTGTGCGGACAGACAGACCCACGTCTGGATCTCCCTCCCGCTGTCGACCAGTCACGAGCTGTATGACCTGGGTTTGCCCCCTACCATCCAGTTTCCTTGTGTGGAAGAGGACAGCTACAGCTGGGTTAGGGCTGCAGTGAGGCAGGGTGACAGCGTGTTGCAAGGCGCTTCAACGATGCCTAGTACAACCAGGGCTCCCGCTAAGGCCAGCTCATTTGCCTCAGTCCCCAAAGTCTAAGCGCACGAGACGCACCCGCTGCAGCGCCTGCACAGCAGACCCATGGGTCCCCATGTTGCCTGTGCATGTGTGTTCTCCTGAGGCTGGAAACAAGCAGCAGATCTTAAACGGCTGTGTGTGTGACTCAGAGTCATCATGCCTAACTGCCAAGCACCCCCTTGGAGAGGAACTTGATGTGCACGCTGTTCCTTCGGCACAACGGGCTGCTCAATGTGTCCCCTTCCAAACAGCATCAAAGGACACCACTGGACACACAGACGCTTGACCTGTGCTTCTAAAAGGTCCCACATGCTGGCTGGACATTCGGGTGTCTGCCACCAGGCCCCAGCCCTTCATCCCTTCTGCGCAGATGCACGGGATGCCTCTTCCCACCACCCCGTACCCCCTCGAAGCCCCGCCCCCTTCCTCAAATGTGCTTTCCTTTGTGACATTCCAAGCCTACATATGCATCTGTGCGTGCACACAAACACACTTTTTGCCCAGTTAAATTATTTTTTGTTGTTATTTTCTCTGTGTAGTTTTATAGAACAGGCTGGCCTCAAAGTCACAGAGATCCTCCTGC